CAAAACCAGGAGCCACAAGCTCAAACATCCACAAGATTAAGATCAAAAGTCAATAAAAACACAAATATAGATCACAAAACCTAATATATATCAACAAAAATGTAATCACAAAAGTAGGTATTGAACTACCTCACCCCACCCACAAAAAATAATTAGTTGTCCTCAAATGCAACCAACAAAAACAATCAATAAAACAACAAAGAGAGAGGTAAAAAGAATGATCATGTCTACTCAGTCACTCCGTCTGTCGGGGAATTAATGCCCGGGGTAACACTCAGGTCTTGGCCATCAGTGCCCGGAGTAACATCAACACCGGCTCCACTGGAGCCTGCCATAGAAGTGTCTCTCAAAGAAGTATGAATGGCCAAATGTGCCATGGCCTCTTCAACATTTGTCAAGACTTCATTGGTGGTCTCCTCCTGCACATCGAGCTACTCTTCGTAAGTTTCAACGTCGCAGTCTGCAGCCACCTCATCAGCTCTAACCTCATATCTGGTGGTAGCCATAGGCATATCAGAATAGGCTGGATTATATGTGTCCATGTCATCATACTTCTTCACGGTCCCAAAATTATTGACATAGCAGTGGACTTCAACTCGTCCACATGTTTTCTTAACTCGTTCACTAGATGCCCCATCTGTAGCAACATAGCCTCGATGAGTGGAGGTCGGGAAGAAGTAGTACTAGCATCAGACCAAGGAGGCAAGGGAGCAGTAGAAGAGCTCGGAGTAATAGAAGGGGAAGAGCTAGAAATACCTGAAGGCCAGTGGCCAGAGTAGGCAAAACTGCCTCTGCAGGTAGTGTCTCAATATAACTAGTCAGGAATGTATCCACCGGGGCTGCCCTCTTCTTCTCAGATTCATCATTCAAGTACTCGGCTTCAATACACCGTATGTTAGTAGAGGAGGTGGGAGTCACTTCCAAATGCTTGTTCTCATCACATGGCACCTGGGCTCGTCCACACAACTCGGTGATCAACACTACAAAAGGGAGAGATGTCTGTTGCTGCCAAGCTCTCATGACCATCTCCTGTCTAATGATGGCACCTAGATTGATGCTCTTTCCTACAATGATAGATCGAAGATAGGCCTCCTTTGTGTGGCGTAGGAGAGAGTCATTTTGGGATGGCATAATTGTTCTACTGATGAAGTTGAACTAGTACCTTGCAACCACATTGAGGTTTTTCTTCTTGATTGGCACTCTGGCCTCGATCCACCTAGAAGTTATGTAAGATTAAAAAGGGGTCAACCAGCTTTTCATGTCCTCCAATGAAGTTCTCTTGATCTTGCTCTGGTAGACATCTTTAATGTTCTTAGTGCACACCAATATGACATTTATATCATCACTATCACAGTTTACTTTCTTTCCTCTGACAATTATGTAGTCTACTGGCTTGAAGGTAGCAGCCTTCCTCTTTCCCTGTGCCACAAAAGCTCCATAGGTAGTGTAAAACTCCTGGACTCAATTAGGAATGTAAGGTCCCCTGGGTTTAGTAATGAGCTGGAATTTCTGTGATTTCAAGGAACTCTAGATCTCTGGATATTTGTCCAACACCTCATATGTGGACAATCTCTTCTCCTCGATGATAGTCCTCAGTCCCTCGTCCTTTATTTTGTTGAGAGACTGGGGAGGAGGACCATGTGCACGTAGTCTTGGAACAACAGTCTGATCTAGAACAGGAGAAAGAGAAGTGATATAAGGCACCCGAATCCTAAACGGATCATGTATCCTCTTGGAGCGCACTTCAGCTCTCCGGGCCAATAGTAGTTGGCCATCTGATACGCTCAAATTACACCTCCCTAAAGAAGAATAAGCGATCGTTGTCAAATAAAGAACCGAACTTGTAGGTTGGGGTCGATCCCAAAACTAATATGGTTTAGATTTAAACTTTACTCACTATTATATCCTTTTAGTAAACTTATTTCCGAGACAAGTAAAGTGGGGGGGGGGATTTGTGAAACAAATAATTGATTGTTGTTTAAGTAACAAGTGAGCAAGATTCAAACTTTGTTGTTATCAATGAGAGAGAGTAACTAGGGTATATGTGTTCCCCATAAGCTATTAACGCAATAATCCTAATAATAGTAATCCTTTCCAAATGTTTTACATGAAACATTTGTAAGTTAGGTATCTCTAAGTAATTGGTCCTCCAAATTGGGAATTTCACTCGGCACCATGGTCCGCCTACGTGTGTATAATTCACTAACCCTTACCTTTACCTCAGATTAGACATCACATCAATGTATGGCTTAGTTTTTACCCTCACACCAATTTACATTAGACTATTAGATAGTATCACACTAAATCTATGTTGATAATTCTTTTCTTATTAACTACCTCCTTGGTCCGGCAAGTAGCAACAAGGTGAGTTCTAATGCGTGAACTCGTTAAAAACACTTCTAAGTGAAAGAATTACCAATGCATGCATCAACACTATTCAAGAACTACTCAGTTATTACTCATATGTTGTTAATTCCTCATGGTTCTCACAACCCTAGTTGTGGATTTAGCTACTCATGTTTGAAAGAACACAATTCATGTTCTTAGAAGAAGAATTCATGAACTTACGTATTTAGTAGAAGAAACTCGTAATCTCCAATTGAATTTCAAAGCAAAAATCTTATAAACCAAAATCTGGAAATCAATTGCAAAAATTTGCAAGTTAATTCCAAAGAAAATATCAAGAACTAAGTAAACAATAGTGTCTAACCCCCAAAAATGAGGTTTACATGTCCTATTTATAGAAAAAAGGCTAAAAAAAGAAAACAAAATAATGAAGTAAACTTTTTGGACACGGTTTTGATCGATGACTCAACCTACGAACTGTGGGTCGACCTACGGTCCGTAGTTCCCTTTCGTTGGTCAACACTTAGACCTTTTTGGCAAACCCTAGAACCTTCAACTCCCAGTTCATCACTGACGGACGTGCAGGACGGACTGTAGGATGACCTATGGTCCGTAGGTCCTCTTTCGTGGCTCTACATTTAGGATTTTCATCAGGTACTGGAACTTTGACTGCCAGTTCATCTTCTACGGACGTGCAGGACAGTCTGTAGCTCGACCTACAGTCCGTAGATTGCTTTGTTGTTCACACTTGGTCAGACTTCCCTAAAGCTCCTATCTACGCCCACCATTGACATACTGTTATAGGACCTATGGTCCGTGGGTGGCCATTTCTGCAGATTGTCATCTATCATCTCACTTTACCACGTTTAAGCCTATTTTCTACAAACATGATACAAAACACATTATTACTAATAATAAATGGCCCTAGACACACACAACTCTTAAGTGAAATGTATTAAAAATACCCTAAACTCACGGCATATCAACACCCTCAACTTAAACATGTGGTTTGTCCTCAAGCGACACACTAACACTCTAAACGACACTTCTGTAGAAGCAGACATACAAACTCAAGCAATCATATGGCAATTTCAATCCACTCTATTTTTTCAGTGGAAATCTTTTGTCTTAGACTCAACAAGCTAACTCATATGGATTAAAATATGACAGAGATCGACCAATAGACACCACAACAAACACTTTTCACCATCACAGACGTACCAACTTTCCGACAATGTAACTAGTGCCCTCACTTTAAATGAAATCCTTTCCACACAGAAGATATGAATTTTGAGTTTTTAGGATTCATGCAACACTCATGATTAGAAGTGACTTCAAGTACAGTTAGTGCTCAATACCATAGGATTGCCCTTATTTTCACTGCTTAGACTCTCCAAACTAGTTTCTAGGATCACGATAGTACTTTCTTAGCTGGTAACGTAGGCTCAGGGTCAGGTGTGGTACATTTGGGTGCTTTTTAGTGACTTTTTGCCCTCCTTGACATTACATTGGCTTTTTACCTCTTTTCTCAACCTTTTTTTGACATTCTTTCATTTTACGTTCTTTCCCTTGAATCTTTTCAACATGGATGTGACTTTTTACTTTGCGGCTCTTATTGATCACTTTCTTATTTTTCTTTCACTTTATTTTTCTTTATATTTTTTCAGGAATTTTATTTATCATCTTTTTTTGCTTCTTTTGCACAAAGTCACATCCTCTTATATATTTTCCTTTTCTCTTTTCAACACAAAACACATTTCATACCCTTTTGTCTTTTGGGTTCCTCTTTCATAGCCACCCTCAAGTTATGGATTTTACATTAGTTTAGGTGCACAATATTCGATGTCAGACCAGGGCCAAGATCAAGGTAACTTTTTGAATTAGCCACCTCAACATAGGATTTTGGCCTAAGTCGAGGTGCACATGTCCAAGGAGGGACCGGGGCCAAGACAGTGATTTTAGGGAAGATGAGTTTGGTGTATCAAACAAAATGGTCTTTTTTAAGGCTCAAACATTTGGATCAAAGGGAACATTGATTTCATTTGGTTGGATAATTTTAGGCTTAAGTGGTCTAATTTGAACAAGGGCCTATAATTACTTCCCCACTTCTAGCCTAGATTATCTTAGCAGGACCAACGGGTCAAGTTCTAGATTGGCACACAACTGTCCAAACATCTAGACATTCTCACTCACACTTGTCACATTGTTTCATTATATAATTATCAGATTACCCAACTCAAGTTTTACCTTAAGTCATGAAGTCAAATCAGTACCTATCATGTCACATTGAGATCCATCACATTCGACTTATCAAGCCTACAGATCTAGTATATTTCATTATTTTTGGATAGGGATCATATTTTTCATGTTGTTTATGCCATCATGCTTTCATTTTTCTACTTACTCCTACACATACATTCCTAAACATGCTGGTTCAACAGAAATTAAAGTAGTCTCTTCGGGGAAAAGAACACATGCAAGAAAACCCCTAGAGAAGATTATGAGTTGGGTTTACTAAGACTTCACCCTATCACTCACAATTGGTTTACCCCACCCCCAACAAAATAAAGTGTGATTGTCCCCAATGCACAAAAAAAATACAAAGCAAAGGATAGGGTGAAGCAAACCTGTGGCACATATGCGTCAAAGACTACTCAAGCAGCGGGTGGGTCCGATTTCCCGGAGCCCGCTGGATTAGCACTCGGAACCCCATTAGTAGTGCTCCCATCTACCCTCTCAGAAACCTCAGTAGTGCTATCATCAACTCTTACAACATCGTCAATGGTGCTCTTTTCATCCCTGCACATGTAGCAACCATTAGGACTTTCTTTCTACATTTTCTGGACAATTTTTAGACACGGACCCTATTCTATATCTAGCCAACATTAGTACAAAAATAAAACACCTATCTAATGAGTTTCAGAAAATTTAAATAAAAGAAGAAAAACTCTGAAATTGACAAGAAAAACCTATAGTTTGCTAGATTGTACATCTTGGGTTGTCCTCCAAGCAGCGCTTGATATAATGTTGCGACCCCAACACAGTCCCCTTGAGTACTCCGACTTCATGAAGGTAATAGGCCTCAATCACTTCTTGCACACTCTCCGAATTTCCCATTTAGCTTTTTATCCTCCGGTGGTTGGCTTTGAACCTTGTCCCACTCATTTTCTCGAACTCAACCACTCTATGTGGGGACACTTGGGTCACTCTAAATGGTTCGGTCCACTGGGACTTGATTCTACATGGATACCAGCATAACCTTGATTTATACAACAACACCAGATCACCAGGAGCTAGTTTGTGCTTTTCGGTCTTTTAAGAATGGTGTTTTTTCTCCGTGCACAAAGTTGCACCTAACCTCTCCTTACTAAACACTTCAACACCTTTTCCTAAAGTGTGACTCACCACATATACTGAATTAAGATCACTTTCCTGCCTCATAGACTTACAGACGTTAAAGGTCACCTCCTCCTTATTCAGTAGAAACTTCATCTGCCCTCTCTCCATATCGACTAAGGCACGCCCAGTAGCAAGGAATGGTCTCCCTAATATGATGGGGACCTTAAAGTCAACATCGTAAGTAAGTATCACAAAGTCCGTCGAAAAAATGAATGACTCCACTTTCACAAGGACATCTTGAAGCACTCCAATGAGCATTTTCATAGTTCTATCATCCATAAGTAAGCGCATCACATTTGGTTTAGGATCCACTAAACCGAACTTCTTATAAATTGACAATGGCATCAAGTTAATGTTGGCACCCAAATCACACAAAGCTTTCGCAAAGTGGATCTTACCAATGGTGCATGGAATATTTAAAGCTCCAGGATCCTCTTTCTTTTGTACCAGTGACCTCGTAGAAATGGCACTACAATTCTACAACCACTCATCATTCTCAAAATATACAACCCTATTTTTAGTCACCAAGACCTTCATGAGCTTTGCATACCCTAGCATTTGCTCCAAAGCTTGTATCAAACGGACATTGATGGAATGTTGTTTCAACATAGTTATAAACCTGTGGTATTTTCCTTCTTCAGTCTTTTGCACTAACCTCTATGGGAAATGAGGTGGAGGTCTCGGCATGTGAACAACGTTTTAGGTTATCTCCACTTCCTTCTCTGTGACTTTTTTGATTCTCAAGTAACCTCATTCTAATCATCATGTGTTTCGACCACTTTTTCCTCATCAGATGGCATGGGGTAATCAATAGTCTGCTTTTCTCCCCGAGTAGTGATTGCCAAACAATGCCCATCATTTTTTAGATTCTTGATGGTGTTGCTCGGAAGTGTGCCAGGCTGACATGGGTTTACTGTAGTGGACAACTGATTCATCTGCTGCCCTAGTTGCTTGATCGACACTGAATGGGCATCCACTTTCTCACCAATTGCGGACAGCTCAGTGCTCATCTCTTTCACATTCTGATCAGTAGTGTCAAATCATTTCATTATCTTTTCCATCATATCCTCAATGCGCGACATACTACCCCCAACTTCTCTATTATCAGATTCCCTGTTCCCAGGTGGGACATATGGCCCAACTCTATCATTCTTGTTACCATAGTTGTTCCAGTTGTAGTTGTTGTCCTGATTATAGTTGCCATCCCGGATATAACTACCCTGTCGGTTGTAGTTTCCATAGTTCCGATCTTGATTTCCTTTCCCTTGGCACCAATTATTCGAGTTGGAACCTTTAGCGTTGGCTCGAAAACCCCCCATCTGATCATTCACCAAATAAGCATCCTCGTCATAGTATCATTTCTCAACTGGTGGTGGTGGAAATCTTGCCAAGTTCTGTTCTCATTTAGGCCATCTCCTCACGAATGTCATCGGCAGATTGACTAGGTGCAGTTTGAACTGCAAAGGTGTTTCTTCCGGTGTCTGAATTTCTAGTGCTCCATACTTTATTATTTTGGGAAATCTTCTCCAATTTCTCCGCGATCTCCTCAAAAGTGCACTCACCATATCATCCTCCAACGATAGTATCAAGCACAGCATTACCATTGTCATATTGATCTCTGTAGAAATACTTCTTGATTGACTCATCATCAATGCGGTGATTTGGAACATTTCTAATGAATACGGTGAACCTATCCCACGAACTACTCACAGACTCTCCAAGTAGTGCGACGAAGTTGTTAAGTTTGTCTTTGTGGTTCAGCTTCTTAGACAACGTGAAGTACTTGGCCATGAACACCTTCTGCAATAGGCCCTATGTATGAATTGAGTTATATGGAAGCTCAGAAAACCAGATTGCAACATCTTCGGTCAATAATAGAGTGAACACTCTCAACCCTATGACGTTCATATCCAACTCTGGTCGGCCTACACAACTCTTGCAGACACTCCTCAACATGGCCATGTGACCATGTGGATCTTCTGAAGCCATACCAGAGAACAACCACCTCGTAGTAAGCATTTGCATCAGACTACTCGTCACCACAAATGTATTCCCTGGATGTATTGGAGGGAGAACAATGGGTCCTTCCGATTCAGCTGTGTTAAACTCGACCCAGTATTTATCTTGTTACCTTGGTTCTGGTGGATTCTGCACCCTCAATGAATCACCAATTAAGTTACCACCAGGAACCTGAGCATTCTCATTAACAAACCCAGGAGGCTACAACTAAACTCCATCACCTAGATTCCCTCCAATTGGATTAGCTTGGACCCCTTGTTTATTCATCTTTTTCAGAGTTTTGCTCAACTCTGGATCGTATGGGGTCAATGGTTCACCTCGACTCCGTGTACTTGGGATACAGTAGAGTAGAAACCTATGGAAAACAAAAACAAAAGTAAATGTAAATTTGGGAAATAATTGACTGAAGTTGAATAATGTAGTTAAACTTAATCTAAAAGCCTTATTCCCCGGCATCGGCGCCAAAATTTGATACGCTCAAATTACATCTCCCTAAAGAAGTATAAGCGATCGTTGTCAAATAAAGAACCCAACTTGTAGGTTGGGGTCTATCCCAGGAGGAATATGGTTTTGCCTTAAACTTAACTCACTATTATATTCGTTTAGTCAACTTATTTCTGAGACAAGTAAGTAAAGAGAGGGGGGGGGGGATTTGTGAAAGAAATAATAGATTGTTGTTTAAGTAACAAGTGAGAAATATTCTAGCTTTGTTGTTATCAATGAGAGAGAGTAACTAGGGTGTATGTGTTCCCCGTAAGCTTTTAACGCAGTAATCCGAATAATAGTAATCCTTTCCTAGTGTTTTACATGCAAAGTTGGTAAGTTAGGTATCCCTAAGTATTTGGTCCTCCAAATAGGGAATTTTACTCTGCACCTTAGTCCGGCTACGTGTGTATAATTTACTAACCCTTACCTTTACCTCAGATTATACATCACATCAATGTATGACTTAGTTTTCACCCTCGCGCCAATTGACATTAGACTATTAGATAGTATCACACAAAATCTCTGTTGATAATTCTTTTCTTATTAACTACCTCATTGGTCCAGCAAGTAGAAACAAGGTGAGTTCTAATGCGTGTACTCGTTAAAAAGACTTCTAAGTGAAAGAATTAACAATGCATGCATCAACACTATTCAAGAATTACTTAGTTATTATTCATAAGTTGTTAATTTCTTATGGTTCCCACAACCCTAGTTGTGGATTTAGCTACTCATGCTTGAAAGAACATAATTCATGCTTTTAGAAGAAGAATTCATGAATTTACAGATTGAGTAGAAGAAATCTGTAATCTCCAATTGAATTTAAAAGCAAAAATCTTATAAACCAAAATGTGGAAACGCAAGTTAATTCCCAAGAAAATATAAAGAACTAAGAGTAAAAAATAGTGTCTAACCCCCAAAAATGAGTTTTACATACCCTATTTATAGAAAAACAAGTCATAAACAAAAAGGAAACAAAATAAGGAAATAAACTTTCTGGACGCGGCTTTGATCAACGACTAGACCAACGAACCTTGGGTCGACCAACGACCCGTAGGTCCCCTCCGCTGGTCAACACTTAGACTCTTTATACGAGGTCTAGAACCTTCAACTCCCACTACATCACTAACAGACATGCAGGAAGGACCGTAGGTTGACCTACGGTCTAAGGGTTCTCTTTCGTGGCTCCACACTTAGGATTTTCATGAGGTACTAGCTCTTTGTCTCCCAGATAATCTTATACAGACATGCAGGATGGCCTGTAGGTCGACCTACGGTCCGTAGGTTGCTTTGTTGTTCCACACTTGGTCAGACTTCCCTAAAGCTCTATCTACGCCCACCATCGACGGACCTTCATAGGACCTATGGTCCGTAGGTCCCTCCATGGGTGGCCATTTCTGCAGATTTTTAACTGTCATATCACTTTACCACATACAAGCCTATTTCCTACAAACATGATACAAAAAACAATATTTCTAATACAAAATGGCCCTAGACACACATAAATCTTAAGTGAAATGTATTAAAAATATCGTAAACTCACGGTATATCATCATCCTCAGGCTCAGAGATGACAACCTAAGGATCCTGGTGTTGCTCCTCGCTTTCAGATGTAGTGAGCTGAGTCGCGTAGATTCCCTCACTGTCGGAGCTAACCTCCAGTGACTCAGTTGTGGGAACCTTGCCCTTTCCTTTGCCTTTCCCACCTGTGGTATGAAGTTTGGATGCATTTTCTTTCGATGCCGATGTATCCTCATTTATGACAATCCCTTATGCCCGCTTGTGGGGCGGCACGTTCCGTCCTTGTACTTTGGGTCTAGCCATATCTGTAAAAGACATAAAAAATTGTTAGAACTATTCACGAAAATTGTAAAAATTGGGTTGCAAAAAAAATCGCCAAACCAGTCGGTGAGTCGCCGAGTCACCTAGGCTAGCTAGATCGAGCTCGTCGAAAGGACCAGCTAAAAAATTTCAAGAAATAAGGAATGTCGATAATGTTCAGGGACTTTAGGCGAATCGCTGACCACACTCGGCGAGCTCAGACTAGCTCGCCGATTATTACAGTGTATTTTAGGGATTAGGGGAGCAGAATGGGCGATCAAAGAAATTGATATGTGGGTCGCGATCAAATAAGGAATGTCGACAATTTGGCATTTTAAAGGCTTTCAGTTTGCGGCCCTTTCGGCAGGATTAGTCGACCACGCTGAACCACTCGGTGATCTGCCAAGTAGTGCCTTACCTCCCTGAGTTTTACAGGATCTCCAGTCAATTTGGGTGTCCAAACGACGGACAAAATTTAGCACGCCGACTTGTTCGGCGAGTCACCGATTCAGCAATTGTCCCGCCGAGTTTTACAGACTTCCAATTCATGTTTTATGGGTCCAAGTCGGGCTCACCGACCTCTGCGGTGAGTTAGTGACTGGACTCTTGGCTCGCCAAAACTCCTATTTTCAAACACTCCACTACTCAACCTGCACAATCAACACCCGTTATTCAAAATTAAATTTAACACATTAAAAACTTGGGTTTCCTCCCAAGAAGCACCTTAGTTAACGTCGTGGAACGACGCAAGTAGCCATTCAAGATTTATTTTTGGGGTTTTCCATTGTATCACTATGCAACCCCTCCTGTTTTATTGGATTCAAATGTGACCAAATTTGACCCATTTGGGTTTCTAGCCGCTTGAAAGAGACAGAATGAGAGGTGACAATTTGATTAAGTGTATAGACATTCTCCTTCATCTCTTTTAACACTTTGTCTAATCCCTCAACTTTGTTGAGAATGCATGACAACATGTCTTCCGTATGGACACCTTCAGATTCCTTGGGCTTTTGACGCTCATTGGGAGGAATATAATCCTTCTCCCCCTCTCTTTCCTTCAAAGTGGCGTTTGTATCAAGCCATTCTCTATCACGGTCTCTCCAGCCCTAATTTGTATTCCTTCCTTTATTTCCACCCGGCCTTGGGTAATTAGCACATTACCTCCTCCTTGATTGGCTAGGAAGTTCACTTCCTCATTGTATAGCGCTTCAAATTTTGCTTCATCGGGGTGTACTCCACCAACACCCACAACATTAACACTCCTTGCACCAGTACCCCTGATATTT